ATAATATTTCCGGTTCTCCTTTCCTTCTTGCCCGTTTTCGACCATTTCGTTCACGTTCCGCCGAGAGTTACGAAGACTTTCAGAACTGCAGAAACCCGCGGAGCTTGAAGTTTCGCTAGGTTACAGGCGAATATAGATACTAATTTTCGGAAATAACGAAACGGGCGAGGGCATGTTGCGAAAAACCGCAGACTGGCGGGAACTGGTTCTTCGCAAATTGCCGGATCCGTAGGACCGCGATGCTTTGCACGCAAGCTCGAAAGGTGGAACAACAATGGCTAGACGACCAGAGCGAGGCAGGTACAACCCCGTGTGCGTTCGTTTGTTTTAATTTCTCAGCTTCTAATTAAACCACAACTACCGAGAACCAAAAAAAANCGTGCCACCAACTGGTCCCCAAAACCAAACGATATTCGCCTCGAATCGCTTTTCGAAAAAAAAAAAAGAAAAGAAGAAAAAAAGAAAGGAAGAGAAAGAAAGAAAGAACGAGAGTGAGAGAGGAGGGAGGAAATAAAACAGGGAGAAAATAGGGAAACAAGAGAGAGAGGTATTTTTCTATACCCGTTCCGCGTTACAAACGGCGACAGAAACGAGAAAAGTGGACGCGGCGAAATTACCGGGGTGAGACGAGAACCGACGACGAAAGTACAGACAGTGGTGGGTGAGGCTGCAGAAGGGGGGAAGCGGGGAAGGATTGAAGAGAATGAAACGTAAGGTGAAGAGAGACGAGAGATAGGAGAGGACTAATTCAGCCGAATATCGGTATAATTACGCGACACACGGCATCCGGCACGGCGAGCCGATTTCTATCGGGGCCCCTCGAAGAAATATCCATCATCAAAAGCCACTCGATATCTCGCAGCTTCACGACAATTTCGCAAATAATTATTGTACGAGAGACACAAAGCGGCTTTCGAGTGCCTCTTGCGTTTCTCCCAGAATCCAATTCCGTGCCGCCTCTTTCAAATCCCTTTGTCACCCACGATAATCCCTCGGTAGACGTGGTCGAGTTGACGATGTTCCCCTCCCTCTCCCCGTCCTTTCTAATACTCCGTCTCTCCGCCGCTAGCAGCGTCGGGGTTGGTAGGTAGTCCGTCGCTCTCTGTTTTTCCCACCACGTCCGCCGTTGCCTCCCGGTTTTACCCGTTTCGAAATTCTATTACTACTACCGCTTATGGATCCCATGCTCGTTTCTTCGCTCCTTTTTCCCGTCTTTTCTCTCTCTCTCTCTCTCTCTCTCTTTCCCTCTCTGTTTTTTTGGCAAGAGGACAAGCACGGGGAGAGAGGGAGGAAAATGTGGTCGAGTTAATGGAAGATTACGGACCAACTTTAATTCCAATTATACCTCCAGGGATATAAATAGACCAGGAGCGGCGATTTTTCCCTCGCGATTTATCCCATTCGCCGGGCTCCACGGCTTGTTTTAAATATGAGCGTGGCGCATACGTCGAACGTGGCGTTGCAATATGGCCGAACTGAACTGACTGAGATAAATACGGAACAGCGAAGTAATCTCTCAAATAAATAATCATGTCTCGCTTCGTGATTCGATCACGAATAAATAAAATACGCGATGACCGACGGAATATTATTTCTGAACGGTGTTTTTCGTGTCGAAAAATACGAGAAAATTTCGTTCCGTTTAGCGTAAACTCAACTATCCATCGGACGGCGTTATTAAATTTCATCCCCCCCCCCCCCCCCCCGCCAGTTTGCCAGGCCTCGACTCGCGCCGTTCTGTGCGTGTTTTATGATTTCTCGCTTCCAATTAAAAATTAATCCCGTTTGAAAAAACGAACGTTTGAAACGGGATACAATGCGGAAGCGTTTAATAGAAACGCGTTCTATTGCTGTGTAATTTAGTCGGTCCTCGCTTGTAAGATGAAACGTCTTTGTGCGCGGAAATTTTAATTTTTTCACCGCCAGGGCAAACCCCCGGCTCGTGTTTATCGTTTCGAGCACGTCAAAGCAAATAATCGGAGAGTCTCGACTCTGCGAAGAAAAAAAGAAAAAAAAAAGTACCAATGTAGCGATTTCAGTAAACGTCACCGCGTATAATTGAAATTATTCGTCTTTCGATCGAATTTCAAAGTACCGTGGTCCCGAGATAAAACGCGAGGAAAACTCTCGAACATTGTCGCGACGTATTTTATAAATTTTATTATTTTTTAGTATTTTACAAATTTTATTTATTCGAACAATTTATTCGATTTTTCATCTTTTTTTTTTAGGAAAATATCACGCGAATTCGAAACCCTGACAAATTTTGTTGCCCGTCGATTTCACACACGCGCGCGTGCCGCTTTTCCTCCGGCGCGTTGTTTCCGCCCTTTTCGATTCGTTATCGAGAGCCAGTTCCAGTCGGTGATCTGTCCTCGACACACACGGGAAATGCTAACACCATCGGGTCTTCAATACGCTTAAAATGAATTGAAACAAAAAACGGGAGATGACAAATGTTGTCTCTTTTTTTTTTTCTTTTTTTTAAATCGGTAAAGGCATGGTTTGAAAATTGGACGTTTAAAAAGCTACGTTGGACTTAGATGGTTTCGATTTCGGTGTTGGTACAAATTACAGAGACATGCGCGCGCGCGCGAGCTATAGTTCGCTGAGCTAAGAGATAAGACTGATGAAGGTGGAACGAGACTCGAGATAAGTAACGTTTTATGCTGGCGTTACATGGAAATGAGGGGCGAGGAGATGGATTCGAGAGGTATCCGAAGAGGTTAGTTTTCAGAGAGGGATTTTAAGTGTACTTCAATCTTGCTGGAATCTTGCCTTGGTTGGTTCTACCGAACTTTGACCACGGGAAGAAAGAAAAGTCTGATTTAATATCGTATGGGCGCAGACGCTTTGCATTTTTATTTTCGATGGAGGTCCTCGAAGGGGATCTCGAAGACCTTGCGCGTTTAAAATATTCGAAATTCCACCTTTTCGTTTATTAAACCAATAAAAATTCCCCTGGATTTTTGCGATTTACGCAATAGAACAGAGCAAGACCGATTTACCAATATTATGTGTATTAAAATTATTGAAACGAAGAATATCAAGAAACGAAAAAGGATGTACTGTCGCCAAAATTGCAAAAAGGGTCCTTTTGGTCTCGTCGAAGGATTCTTTAATCTGTCAGAACTGCGCCAAGTTACATTCTTCTTTCGTTTCTTTCACGTCCACTTTAGTCTCATTTCTTCGGCTAATACACGACGAAGAGGGGTTCAAGATTGTTATAGGTCGTGACCCGGTTCTCTCGTGAAACCTGTAGGATTACCAGCGCACAGCCCAATCAGCCAGATTGCCAGAAAATTTGCAGATCTTATCTTGCTATCTCGTTCCACGGCTCTCCCCTTTTTATCCTTTCACAGCCATGAATGATACAAGAAAGCGATCTTTCCATCGCGGAAGCATGAAAATGGAAGAAAATTTGGTTGTACAGTTTCGTTTCGTGATATTATTTAGGATCAGAAGCTCGATGGTTGATGTTGATTTAAAAGTGTAAGTAGAAAGTATATATAAATTCAGATATAAAATTTATTAAAGAAGTTATTACTATTCAAGTATTATGTTCATTCCTATTGTAGTAGTACGATATTTGAATTTGTGAGGTATATACTTTCGTAAAACATTGTAAATGAGGCTAAAATAAGTTTTTATACAAACTCTGACATTATAAACATGTCACATCTTCCGTGCCAATTTTATAAATGCTTATTCATAAACGCGAATTTACAACTTTGATACTGTAACTCCATTAATTTACGCAACTACTGTGCCACAAATTAATTCCAAGTTAAATTCAAATTTAAATTACATCATTTAATTGGGAATTAAAAGAGGAGGAAACACGTTTATCAAACTTATCATTATGATAATGATGCAATTAAAAAAGAAAATAATAAAACTGTAATCGTGAAGATGTCAGTGAAATTTCAGTTAGAAAGACATGCGAAAGGAACAAGCAAAGAAAAAAAAAAAAAATGAGAAACAAAATTGAAGCAAACGACGAAATATCTAAACATCGCAATCTCCAATGATTGTGTAACAACAAAAGATCTTGTTCGATTAATAAATTACCAGTAGCTAATAGAAAAAAATAAAAAACATTCAACCGTGACAACATTCATCTTCGCCTCATTACTCGCTAGTCAAGAGCTAATCATCCAGACTGTTTCTGCAATTTGTCCTCTCCTTATCACGCTACATTTCGCAATCTCGATCTATTTCTGCCAGTGGCATGGAGAGAGGGGGAACCCAGCTTCACGCATTACTGAAAATGGGCTTTTCGAAAGAATATCTCTCCGGTTTCGTTTCTTCGTCCACCCCCTTCCGCCATCCACGTTTCTTTGCCCCCGTAATGTACGTAAATCTTCTCCCGCGCTCGTGTCCCTTTTGTCCCCGGGTGCACGGGGAAATCTTCGGGGTGAAATTGCAGTCGCGGGACACGGAAAAAAAGGACAAGTGGATTTGAATAGATTTACCTTATCGTTTCTCGAATCTGTTTCTGTCTCTCGCGCCAGAGGCAAATAGCTCGCGTTTCGTGAATTACGCCCGGGATCGTAATAAATAACAGATCAAAACGGGCAACAATCCGCGGTTTCGTATCGATTCGTTTTCGTCGACGATGAAATTGCACGACGATCGTCAGGCGAGTTTTATCGATGACACACCTGCGGATAGTTGAGTTATTTTGTACGATCTAAAGTAATTTCTGTCGGATTACTGAAAATTCGGAAGATTGAACATCGTAACGTGAATTGGGTGTGAAGTTGAATGAAAAATTCTACAATTGTAAATCGCATAATTTTTTAGTCTTGAAGGGATAGAACTTAAAGTCTAAGGAACACGCAAAACCAAAATAAAACGAAATCGAATGAGAACTGACGCGCAGCGTCGATCAGCCTGTTTTTAACAATGACGTCGAATGAAAAACGAAGCGGTCTAGGTCGTAATGCGAAAGAGAGACACAAGCGATAGTAATGTTATATTGTTAGATGAACACTCACCGGCGTTATTACTGGCGAAATTTAGATCCTTACCTGAAACATAGGAAAGCAGATGATGTTAGTATGATCGAGTGTCGTCAAGTATACAACATAATACTGACATTGATTCTGTGACGTGACACCAGACGCAACGTATTACATTAGATGGCGGAGAGGCGTTGTTCCACGCAACTAATTAATTCACCCGCCGGTGTATATAAATTAACCAACGATGAAATTATCCGATTCGCAAACGCGAAAACGCTTTCAAGTATATTAATCGGGGAGAAAACGATTCGCGCGACGTGCGAGAAGCTGACGAAACACGATGTATTTTTATCGTGAAAGATTCCTTAATTGCTTCGCTAATCAAGCGGTGCTCGAGCATTTATGTGAAACTATTCTCGAAATAGCCGAAAAATATTTGTGCTGTAGTATGGCGAGCCAAATCTTCAGATTTAAATATTATAGAAAATTATTGGGAATTTGCCGAGGATGGGAGACAATATTAATGACATTAAAAAATGTATTGGAGAAGTGGAAAGAACTAACTCAAAAGATCATGAAGAAACTATATAAATCTTTGCAAATCCTAAAAAATGGCTGCCGTTATTAAATGCAAAGGTCGTACAATTATCAAACTCGTTTCTTCGATTTCTATCCAGTGTTTTTCACGAAATGCGCCATCAATTTCACCCGCTAAATATTTCTTCTTCTTTTTCTTTAATAGCACAAAATATATTGTAGAAAAGAATTACAAAAAAAAGATCGTATTTGTTTGTTAATAAGAAATTTAATACTTCAAATTTCTTCTCGCTGTGAAATTCATAACTCGAGTCCTCGTCATCTTCTTCCCCTCCTCCGGAAATAAACAGACAGTTTGAAAAGGAGAGGGCGCGAATCGATCTATGCGATCTATCGATCGTACCAAGAAACCAGACCTTTCGAAATTTATTTATTACCGAGGGGCTTTCATATTTATGCCGATAGCGCGATGAGCATCTTGTTTCTTTCAGCCGTAATGGTGATTGACGTGCTATAAATCCGCGAGATAGAGAACTGATGGGTAGTAATAGATTTACGATATTCGGGTCAAGCTTCTTCTTTCCTGTTCGACCATGAAAAATATGCAAATTGATATAAAATTAGCGAACGGCAGTTGCGGTAACGTGCACTTTGATATTTCATTAACGTCACGTTATTTACGAAATTACAGCTCTATCCATACATCTACGTTCACGTTCCTTTAAAATTCTACGCTTATTCACGCTGGCGTGTCGTGCATTTTGCTCGTGTATCGTTGCATTTGCTTTAAACACAAATTCAAGCGTCACGCTGTTGTCCAGTGTTGAAAGAGTTTGAAGATCTCGATGCGTTCGTTTAATTAAATCCTCGGCGAAAAGAAATTGAACGACTTCCTTGCTTAAGGGAAAGTTAACGCACGTAAGCGAGTTCGAGAATTCCAGAGCGTTGCTCTGTCTACGTGCTTCCATCGCGAACGCGAAACAAAAAGCACGCAACGTCCTTCTTGCCGTAGCGGGTAGCAAAATCATCGAAGAAACCGGTCGTTTCCGGATCTCCGATGATCATAGGTGGTTTCAACGACCCCCGCGAAACACGTCTAACGACCAACAACGGAATCACTTTACGTGCAACGAGCACGCATGTAAATGCAGCGTGAAAAGTTCGTCAGTTACGATACTGCCAGCTTCGTCCGATGCGAGAGCCAAGTACAGGTATAAGCGAGATACATACATACGTATATATATATATATATGCAGGAATATGGCCGAAGAACGAAATTCCACGCGGAGACCTCGTGAACGCGAACGTACGTAAATACACGGGATAACTCGGGGATGGGATGCATCCGAGTACGATACGTATAGTGGTGCACGTGTGCAGAGGGAGCGTATGCGATTCCGACCGGCGAAAACTGCCCACGACCACGAAGACGCGGCTGCTACTTATCTCCTCGCAATTGACTCAACCGATTCCATGATTTTTCCCATCATAAGTGTATCGTATTCCGTCCGCGTCTACGAACTGTGTATTTGCATGCAGCTACCGCGTTCAACGAAACATGTTTTTTAATCAGGATGCGGACGCGCGCGCGCGCGCATCCCATTTCCTCGCGGTATCAAATTTTCGTAGCCGTACGAAAGTTTCTGCGAGATTGTACGAAATTTATAACACTTGGATCTAATTAATTATTATGTAAATGTCGTGTAATGAACGCGCAAATATTCCCCGCGGGTAGAAACGTTACCGGTCCCGGGTGGGAGAGTTTCGAAAATTTCTTCGTCACTCGTTTGCCCGTTTAATTCGACGGCCGAAAGACAGATTGAAAAAAAAATATGCGAGCGCGCGCGTGACGTCGAATAGGCGACGTATCGAATTTTCAAACGCACACGGGAAAACGCAACTTATTGTCCGTCGCTGCATCGTTCGACGTCCGTCCGTCTGTTTCACCACGGACGATGTCACTTTATTTATTAACTATAAAATTTATTGGCCGCGCTCCGTATCACGCGGCGAATAAACAATACGAGACGTATCGCGTATCCACTCGTAATTTATTCCCGACACCATTTACGCGCGCGAGCATTTTTAAATTAGCACCCCGGGGGGGGGGGGGGGGGGAGGGACTGCTGAAATAAATTCGCAACGTGCTAATAATTTGCAGAAACCCCCGGCTGAAAATACAAACGTGGCGGAAAGATCGAAAGATGGATCGCGATGGCGTACGCGCGTAACCTGATCGGTATAACGTACGTGTGCATATGTTTCCTTTCGACCGTTCATTCAATTTCTGTTATTACATTGACGTGGATTATCGCGTGGATTGAGAGCGATTTATTCGACCCCGTTTCGATCAAAATCAGAGGGGCGAAGAAACGGCGAAATTAATTTTATACTCTTTCTTCTTTTTTTTTTTTGTTTTTTTTTTTTTTGGTTGTTTGTTTTCCTTCCCGTGAAACATCCGCGAGCAAATGTATTTTTGCATCCTCGCGTGATTAAACGCTGTCGCTGGAATTAATCGCGATATAGGCTGTTGCAAAATTACACGACTAGAATTGCAAATCGTAATACGATAAATAAACAGCTTCTGCAAATGTAGAGTAATGTACTAATGACAATAAATCAGCCGTAATAATGCTCGTAATTAACGGGCTGCAACGTTCGAGGTGTACACCTCAAATAATCTTATTAAAATGTTACATATCAAAACGTTGTATTGTTGCCGGATATATTGTTAAAATGTTGCACATTCAAATTCAGCTCTATATCGCTGAAAGGCGAGATATTGCGTTAAAGCATTATGTACATAGGATGTTTCGCGTAACTGGGATAAGCTACAGCTCTGAAATGGTGGCGGATAAAACAATATTGTAACCGGGCGGAATTAAATGCTTTTAAATGGCGCATGATCTGACGCGCGCGTCCATTGAAGAACGAATAACGTTTCAAAGATTTTAAAAGTCGTCTCTGTTTCTTCTTTCAAGTATTTACATTATACACTTGTCTTTTTGCGCGATGCAACTTTTCATTCTCTCTGAAGGATCAATATATCGCTAGATAAAAAAATTTTAGAATCGTTGTGCTCCAAAGGAAATCGCGCGTACATTCAGAAACCAAATTCAATGTTGCCTAATGAAATTCGTTTCTATCTTCTTGTATCTCGTTTTAGCTGCGCAGGACAAACAAATCGTGCAGCAAGTTCACGTACGTGCACAATTGAAATTCCTCTAATAGCGTAAGAGACAAAAAAGGGGCAAAAGACAAAGGACAAAAGGGAACAGAAATCGACTTTGGAGACCTTTCAGATATAAAAATTAGTCGTCGTTTCTCGGCCTGTCCGATACAAAATAGATCCCTGCGCCAATCCCTGAAACGAGAACAACTTGCGACCAGGCTGCGTCGATGGATCGGTGGCCGTCCATTCGAGATTTATCGGTGTGTTACGTTGAAAATGGAGGATCATCGCGGAAATGCCTCCATTCCGGTCGACTGGTCCACTTATCGTTAGAAGGATCCTTTGTCACCCGTGCTAACGCGAGCCACGAGATCCAAAAGGGCCAGAAGAGACGTAGACGACGAAGGGTGGAAGAGAAGGAAATGCAAATTGAGAGGACGGCGGGTGGTTGTATTTCAGTCTCGTCGCGCGAAAGGGATGAAAAAAAAGTCGTACGAGGCAAGGTTGACATTTTTTTTACGAGTAAAAATCTACGGTAAAGGAGGAAAGTAGAGAAGGAAAGAGAAAAGAAGAGGAAAAAGGGAATATCTCTGTCGGTGGTTACGCTCGTGTCTAATAAGAAAAATATCGGATCATACGTACGGTATTTCTTGCCGTTTGTCAGATATTACACACGAGCGTACCGACGATAAAACTTTATGCGACAACGGAATTTCGCCGCGCACGACTCGATACCGCGCGCGACATTTTCTGGTATTCACGTCTCGTAACTTGCGGTAGGTAAATTTCTTTTTTTTTCGGGGAAGGAGAGTACGAGAGAGTAGAGAGCCAACGATTGACAGATTTTCAAGTTACGATCTCTATTGTGTTTCTTGAAGGATGAAAGTCTGATGATTTCTCCAGCTGCGACGTATCCGGACGCAAGGGAAAATTTTTACGCGCGCCTCTCCAAGGAAAAACGTAGAACGTTCGTTATTCACATTCCATGAAAAACAATTTGAAACAGCTAAACGGAGATATCTTTGAAACGTTTCGTTGCTTTAATCAAGTTAATGAAAGCAGCCGTGAAATCTACAAGAAAAATGCTCCTTCCTAATTTCCATTTCGCGCAATGGAGCGAAAAATTTTGGAATTGAAATTATTACGAATATAAAATACATTTTCACCGTCTCTCTCTCTCTCTCTCTCTGTCTCTCTGTCTCTCTCTCTCTCTTCTTTTTTAGTCATCCCTGTTTCAACGTTCGCGCCACTCGAATAACTGCGAGCCGTGCCACGTCCGGCGCAGTTATTTGTCCGACGGAAAATTAATTTTCAAAGTGCTCCGCATTAAAATTAAATATCGCAATGACAGCGACGT